AAAATCACACAACATAATTATTGGTACCAATTGAAAGACCAAGTCACGATTCATTATAATTTTCTTTATTTGGACAGAGACCACCAGATTTTGATTAAATTATTTTCAACCTTTGAGTAAGCAGGAAATCCCTTCAGATGGATGTCAATCTTTTTTTTTTTTTTTTCTTTTTTCTACGAGTCCAGGACACCATGCATACATTCACAAGGCTGGAATAAAAACATATTCAGTATTTATTTTTGCCACCTGTTGCAGTTACGCTACCTCAAAATAAACACAATGTCCTTTTTCATTTTTAAAAGCAGCTCAAAGAAAGCGTCCCATGTTCCATGCCACATTGATTCACCTGGGAAACAGGAAGCCTTAAAATCAACTTAAAAACCTAAGGCATGAATACAACAAAAAGATTCAGTTACATATATTTTTCAGGAATTGCTTGGTGAGCCAATAATGTTAGTGCCTGTTTTATTAAAGTACATAATTGAATAATTTCCCCAAAGAATGAACGTTCTTAATTGAATTTCTCAGTTTAAAATTATATGTCACAGTTGTAGCAGAATAAATTATTTATTCATTCATATTGAGAGGTAGCTAAAAGTGTTGCATACACACACCACAAACACCTACATGGAAAAATAAAGTTATAACTTACTTGACTGGAGGAATTCTAGCTGGAGGCTGAAGCACCTTCCCTCCTCTGACGGGGGCTGGGGGAGCAGCCGGCGGAGGTCTGGACACAGGGGCCCGTCCCTGAATCGGACCTCCTCTGCCCAGTTTGGCATCCCTGACTTGCACGGTCTTGCAAGCTGGAGCTTGGGCTGGTTGAGGGCCGGCCTGCGCGGCTGCCTTCTTGTTTTTAACCTCCAGATGCTGCTGCCACCACTTCTGTTCTGTGCAGATAGAACATTTACTTTGAGCTACAGCAAGTGTAGCAGCCAGTCCATTTGAGAAGAAAAGAGCTGATTGTTATAAGTGATTATTTATTAAAATCATCTGTGTCATCAACCAACATAAGAGTTAGACAAGAACAAATAACTGTGGCTACAGTCGTTCTCACCATGCGTTGTTATGCATAGCCTATTACAGAAGTACAGTTCTTTTCATTCAGATTTTTCCATAAACACTTCAAATTACTCAAATATACTTCAAACCCAGTTACTAACCGAGTTGCTTTTTGTTCTTATTTTTCTGTTTTGCTGTTAACCTTCTCTGTGTATTTCGGTGAACCTTTTCATCTAGGACTGTGTTCTGCTTCCACAGCAGAACACGTTCACAAGAAAGTGACCAAAAACATTCCTCAGTGGCAACTATAATAAACACGGGTAACTTTACTCAGTTGTCCTTTACAGCAAGTGTTAAAGCTACAGTATGTAACATTTATAAAATATATATATATATTTTGCAAATTTATTGAAACTGTCACTATGTCTTCTCAGTATGGTATGAGAAAGATAATCTGTGAAAATTCGAGCTCCTTGGCCCTCTCCCAGTGCCCCCCAGTCCTAACTACAAACAACCAATCAGAGCCAGGAGGCGGGTCTTAGCGCAGTCAATCACAATCTCCTGTGGCTCATCCTCTCCACCTTGCCCCCTGCTGCACTGCAGCTAGCATAGCATGTTGTGGATGCTCAGGATGGTCAGCATGACCACTGATGACGGCAGATAAACAGTTTTCCTGTAACGGTAAGTTGTTTCTCCACCATTAGGACATTTAGCAGCGAGTACATAAGTTGATTGACAGCGGTAAGACCCTCCTCCTGGCTCTGATTGGTTGTTTTAGGTTGGGAGCAGTGGATTTCTTCACACAACAACTTCAGCTCACGATGAAGGTGGAAGAGGTTGATCTTTTTACAGGTTACCTGTCTCATAAACTGTCACAATTATATACATATATGTTTATAAAAGTTACACACTGTAGCTTTATTCTGTGGAATCTTAGCCGTACTGTCTGTGATTTATTTCTCCTAAAGGTGGGAGGTGTGGACTCACTGCCCAACGGTTCAGGTGGATCTCCACTCAGAGGTTTGTCTTCCAGCTCGATGCTGGCCTGGAAGCTGAGGCGGGCGTCGCTCAGGACCTCATTTGACCTGTCTGAGTTTGGGTTGCTATCGTACTGAGCCAGCTGGGCCACTCCGAGGTGACACAGAGCTCGGCTGTCCCGCGGAGAGGTGATCACCGCCAGCTGGCACGTCTGCGTAGGGTGGGAGGAAACGTCATGACTCATGTCCGAGCTCTGGTGACCATTAACCATAGATACACGAGAAATCCTAAAGAGTCCTGAACTCTTACTCTCTCCTGCATGTCCAGCAGCTCCTGGCAAGGAGAGATGGTGGTCAGGCGGATGAGAGCGGTGAGGGCCTGGCACCTCTTCGCCACCAGGGCCTGCGTGTCGACGGCCGCCTTTGCCTGCTGCTCGCCCTGCTGGATCAGTCTCTGCAGCAGGGCGAAGTGAGCATCCAGCAGCACCCACTCCAGCTGCCTGCTCGCCTCGCTGCGGCACACAAACTGACTCACGCTCCGGGCAGCCAGCGCCGCTACGCTGAAGTATTTCAGAACAAGGGCAGAAAAAGAATTTTTTTTTTCTTATTTATTGTTCATAGCACAAACTTCAATGAATTTTGTTTGGGAAGCTACGTGATAGACCAAAACCAAGTACATTATAACTATGAAGAGATAGAAAAAATATTCATCATCTTCAACTTGTATTTATTTATTTTTTGTTGTTTACAAATTTAAATCTGAACAGTGTGGAGTGCATGTGAATTCAGCCTCCTAAGAGAGTGATTAACGGTTGATGTCAGGCTGCATCAGCGTCTTACTGTTTTGTGAAAGAAAGCAAAAATATATTCAAACTACATTGCAAGAACACAAAATGCTACCAAGTACTTTTTCATAAAAAGTCAACGTGTAGCTTCAGTCATCAAGGCAGACGGTAAATTACTGAGTCATCAGAAATCAGAAGTGCAGCCCGCAGATGTCAGAAGTTCTAAAAACAAAACCATATGACATCTGCAGCAGATGCCACAAAACTGTGTGCAGGAGTTGCACCAAACAAAGAGAAGCAATCTGCTCCACCTACGAGTTGTAAATAATTGTATAAACCTAATTCTAAGTAGTGTAGACACACTGCAAAAACACAAAAGGTTAGCAAGTGTTTCCGGTCTAACACTAACTTACAAGTAACTTTTCAGGAAGATGGAGGAGCTTGTTTTAAGTGAATAATTCCTTCATATCGAAGAAGTGCTAATTAAATGTGAAATAATCTGCCAGTGGAGCTAGAACATTTTCCATCAATATTAAAGAATTAATTATTTAAAACAAGCTCATATATCCTGCAAAAAAAAGAAAGTTACTTGTAAGTTACTTCTCTCTTATTACAAATTTTATTTACCAAAAATAGACCAAACATACTCAATGTAGTACGCTGACAACATGCTGGTTAAAACAGCAAGAATTTGGCAGGTGACCATGGCAACCGGTGACATTAAAGGCAGACCATCCACAAACAAATTATGCCTAAACTTTGTAGAATCACACCTCAGCTTTTCCTGTCCATTGCCAGGTTGCAAATCTACAGACTGAAAGGGTAAAGGGGGCCAAATACAAAAGCACAATACATTGTTTTGTCTTGTATTTGCTAAAAAAAAAAAAGTTAAATGACCATAATTATCCACAACTTTATGTTGATCTATAGCATAAAAACAATACGACATGTGGAAAAGCTCACATGCAGAGCGCTGCTCAGAGTGTCTCCGTACGTTAACCTACATGTGGTACACCTGCTCAGGAGTCATGGACTTCTCAGACAACGTGGCCTTCTGCTGCAGCTGCCCCAGGGTGAGAAGCCCTCGCAGAAACTGTGGATTCAGGCTGGACAGAGGGTCGAATGGATCCTGGTTCTCCTGACTGCAGAGGAAGTCAGGAAGCAAGAAATACACGTGGAATTTACAAAAAAAAAAAAAAAATTCCTATTCTCCCTCCCGCAGGCCCGAACAGAACATCCTGATACATTACACATGCTGTCATGACCTCACACTTTTCCCTCTCTCACTCGAAAGCATCCACCTCCGCCATGCACTCAAACAAAACACACACTTAACGAACCTCTCGCTGCAGCGTTGGCTGACAAAGTGCTCCAGTCCCTGATGTAAGAACAGTGCAGCCTCCTTCTCCGTGCCCTCGCCGGCTTTCTGCTCCTGCTGCAGCAGAGCTAGCCCTGTAAAGAATCTGAAAAAAACAAATCAATGCTTAAGACAAGTGGAGATTTTAGATGTAGCACTTTCCAAAAGTATTCGGGGTGAAAGGTTTAATCCAGAAGAAAACAACCACAATTTACATGTGCGGACAATTAGTAGGTGACTATATTTCAAGTGCCATACACTCTCCTAGACAGTAATGTATTATGCCAGTTGGGTCTTTCATTGTCTTTTATGCCCATGTTCGAAATAGAGCTTAGTAATTTAGATGTTAGAGCTCCAGGAGAATGCTGTTTGTTGCTGCAGTTACTCCGTTTTCTTTTGTTTTTGTTTTTTCTCTTTCTGCAGGTGTAGAGGCAGACTCATCGGGTGTTTGCTCGTGTTCTCTCGATGCTCTCGAAAAGAGAACGATGCAATCATCACGATGAAGGAAAGGAAGGAAAATGTGGCTTAATTGCAACATTGTTATTGAAACAACCGACATTGATGCATTGATGTTGTATTTTCCAGCTTCCAGCTCCTAAGATATAATCCATACTCTCACCCTTAAGTTTCTTTCATGAAATCTTCACTTTCCCTCTGTATCTAGAAGTGTGAGCTTCAAACCTGCTCTTACACACACACACACTCACACACACACATACACACACACGCACTTGATCCCATACGTGAATGTGAGCGCTGACCTGAGTGTGGGGTTCAGCGGGCGCAGCGCCAGCCCGGTCTGGACGTGCTGCAAAGCCTCTTTGCTTCTCCCCTGCAGCAGCAGGAGTCTCCCTATGTGGAGGCTGAACTCCCAGCTGTCTGGACTCAGGGACCAGGCGTCCAGGTACTTCATGAGGGATCGATACATGTAGCTCTCCTCATCTTGCATCACTATGTTGCGATCCTGCAACAACAGTCTCCCAAGTCATTCATAGACTGCCATTAAGATCACAGAAAAAGCTAAAGAGGAGGAGTTGGAATGGGAATATTTGGACAGTGGTTGAACTAGTTAAAGGGGCAGTGCTGTGCTTTCCAGGCAATTAGTGCCATTTCTTAAAACAAAGAAAGTAACTGTGTTAATTTTAGATGTAAAAAAAAAATGCTATTTATATGAATTATGACTTAAAAAAATTTGACTTTGTAATTTAAAGCCTTGAAATTGGGCCTCCGTCGATTTAAGAACTCCTGCTCTTTCTGAAGCGCCACCTTCAGGAAACCATCACAACATCACTCCTCCTTTAATCCTTACGTAACATTTTAACCTGCATTGCACTGAGAAGTAGCTCCTATAATGAGCTAAGCAGGTGTTTGCTAATTGCTGTTGGCTAGTCTGAAGGAGCTGAATGGCGGAGTTGTGGGAAAGGGCAGCTCTGAAGAGGAGCTGCGCCTAGAAAGGCGGGGCTAGGTCCACCCAGGCGTTTTGGGCAGCTGAATGGTTGCCACGGGAGATTAAAGGATTTTTAAAACATGCGTGAAAGAATCAAAGCGACACTCCAGGTATGATTCTGATGAGGGAATAATATCAAAACATAATGAGAAGCTCAAACAAGTTGATTTTACATAATACTGCCTCTTTAAAATAACTACAAAAAGGAAGTTGTGCAGGTACATTTGAGAAGTTGCTGCAGCAACAAAAATGACTTTAATGTGTAGACCAGTAAAAATACAACATCACGTCTGTACATTCTGGCGAATCTGTAAAAAACTCAAAATGCATTTCGGTTCTCATATCTCAGGTTTTACACCCTGAGCTACAAGAAGAGTGATTTGTATCTGTGTTTTTCTCATTTTGTTCCTTCTAATATTTGTTACCGTGGCAACGCCTGATGATTTTTAGAGTTGTAAAAGTCAGACGGGGTTTACCTTGGCAGCATGCTTGGACAGCCAGAGGTAAAGGGTCTGCACATAGTCTGACTTGCTGAACTGTCCCTGGTCTTTCAGCTGGTGATACTCCTTATCCAAGGCCTGCAGCTGGTTCTCCACGGAGGGCATGCCATGGAAGCCATGCAGCTTACACACAGCCAGGATGTCGTCCTGATGGGCCGAAGACTTGGCCTCACTTATTTCATCTTTGTCCTTATCAGCCTAGAGAAGACGAAATGAAAAAAAGAAGAGTTAATCATGTTTGTCTGCTTATATATAGCTCAGCACAAATATTTGAATCATGAGATTGAGCTTCATAGCACAACTAAAACTTAAAAAATTGATCAGGCATGGACTAAATGGTAGCAGTTTAAAATCTAAATAACACGGTTTTATGTTAAGAAAAGAAAAAAAAAAAATCCAAATAAATACCTTTTTCGGAGAGCCGTAAACCTGGGTGGTGTTGTGGTGCTCCTCCAAAACGAGACCCAGCAGAAAGTGGAGTTTGGCATTTTTGGGACTGAGGGCGATAGCTGATGCATAATAAGCAGCCGCCTCGTCCAGGCGGTGCAGCAGAGCGTCCACGTTCTCACTCCTCAACCGCTCGCCTGCAGAAAGGGTTAAAAAAAACAACCAGATGTTAAGGTGCTTTCTACAACTAACAAAATTAAAAGTGTGATGTATTTTCTTCTAGTTCTATGTGATCCTCTTGAGTCAGTACTTCTGGATCACTTAGTGCTGACGTTGCTAGACGGGAGTCTGAATTAGAACCGGTTTTCAGGTATTTCTGCTGATTCTCTATTGGATTTGGGTCCTCAGTAGACTTTTTCAATTCAATTTGAGTGCATTTCTAAAAAAAAAAAGGAAAAAAAGAAAGGTATATGATTTTATTCTCTATAGTATTTCCCTGATAATATCATAGTAAACCTTGTGACTTCAGTTTTGTAATTCCTTGCCATATTTGGGAACATACTGTAGTTTAAAAGCTTACAGAATACGAAGCATAAACACACTTTAACATATTTAATGTGTTTAAGTAGCATGACACAGCCTTTTTGTTTTGCAGCAATACGACCCCGGCGGGGTTAAACTGAGCTTCTCTTTAAGCCACTCAGCCTTTTAAAAACACAAAGCTGCTGCTGCTGCTTACGCTTTAAGAGGTCTGTCTCTCTTTCTCTCTCTCTCGCTGAATCTGCTGCTATTTCTCTGCTCAGTTTCAGCGACTCCTATTCGGTCATCTGGGATCAGCCTAAAATGTCGCTTCTGTGAGTCATCAAACAATTAACGAGGCGAACATAGCTGAAGAAGAAAAAAACAGAAAAGAAAAAAAGAAAAGGATCCCGAGCGGTAACTAGCACATTAGACGAAAGAGGACGTCTCGGAGGCGACCACAAATGGGCCCATTTGCATGTATTTTTTAATAGCTGCGGCTGAGATGACCTGAACGAGGGCTCGAGTGTGTGAACCCGGCCAGTAAAACGGGAGGTTTTAGTGCAGTTTCTGTAAATCTATTCTGCCTCTGATGTGCTTTTCCGTTGAGATTAAACTGCAGAAATTATTCTTGCTATATAAACGTAAAAACATACTGTGGAATATTGGAGAATATTTTATATCATTTCTGCTGCATTTGCATTTATTGCGGTGAGAAAGTAAAAAAAAAAAAGAATTAAGAACTGAGTTTAACAGGTGTTTAGATGAATCTGTTCCAGCCACAGGGTGACACAGATCTGATTGATTGACACCCAACATTGATCCCAACATTGGTATTTACAACATATAGCTTGCAGCCCTCTGTCTTTGTCTTTTACCTTTGTGACTAGAGTGTTATCTGATCCCAGTTAACACAGGTGTATTTTGTAACCATGTTCTGAAATATACGCCCTGTTATTCCTTTTAATAAATGAAAAAAAACCTGCATTTTGCAGTTAGTTAGTTTGCAGTTTGTTAGTGGTTTTTTTTATTTTTTATTCTCACGGTCAAGAACTGTAATCAGACAGTTGATAAGGGATCAGTAATTTTACAATATCACTGAATGTGCCATGAATTTATTGTGAAAACCTAAGATTCAATTTAAATATCACAATTCATATTAAACACATGTAAATGTAGCATTTTCAATCATTTATACTTTTTGTTTATCATAGTTTTCACATTTTTATTTAGTAATCCGGGGCAAGATAAGAGAACATCCTACTCAGGCAGGACACATCATCTAAATCAGGTAAGAAAACAAGAAAACACAAGATGTGAAAAAAAATATTTACCCCTCCATCAGTTTTTGTTTTTTTGTCGCAGTTAAACTTTTCAGGCCATCAAAACCTACACAAACCAACCTGGTCACCAAGCACCAGGTGACTGAGTTTACATTTCATAGAAAGCTCGGTTAAATTTCAGACAAGCCTGGAGACTGACAGACCTGTAGAATCAAGACAAAACTACATAAGTAGGACTTTAGGTAAAACGTACCTGATTTGAGCAGGTGTTCCCTGTGGTGTTTCAGATGCTCCTCAGCCTGAGCACACAGGCTATCCACAGTGTTCTCCTCTTGTGCCATTTGGAGGTTTTTCTCCCAGTTACGCACCTGTAGAAAACAAACGACGCAGGCTAAGCCGTCAACGCTAAAAACCAAGCAGAGTTACACAAGGA